GAGGTGCACCCACAATCGCTCGCGCGGCTGCATTCTGGACGAGTTGAAGTCTCCGAATACTCTTCAAAGGCTGCCCCATGTAGAGCGCATTGGGTCAGTCCTGCCTGGGGAAAGAGGCTGGGGCTTTCGGTTGGGTTCCCACAACATGCTAAACCCAGGTTAAACCAAGAGCAGAGATTCAACTTAGAAATAAGGACGAATTTTCTGATAGTGAGAACAATCAACTAAAGGAACAGAAGCTGCCTTCAGAAGTTGTGGGAGCTTCATCACTGAAAGCGTTTAAGAGACTGGACTGCCATTAATGGTGTAGGGTCTCCCACTTGGGCAGGGGGGTGCGTTGGACTAGATGACCTACAAGTTCCCTTCCAACTCTGTTATTCTGTTATTTCCCCTTTAGCTCTGTAGGTAAAAAAAACTTTAAAAAAAAACCTTAAACAAATTAAAGTAAGGTCAATCAAGGAAGCCTGGCTAGTCAGACACATTTATGTCCATCAATTCTATTTTAAAAAATTACCGGTAACTATCTCCATTTTCAGCAAGAGCTGAAGCCAGAAAGGAACAGGATAGAAGGAAAGCTAAGGAAATTAGAGCTTAGAGGCTGCTTGTGAATTAAACCAAGCACCTTTCCTGCGTCCCAAACACACATTTTTTCCCCATGGTAACAAATTGCTCTCCTTTCCTTTGTTCAATTAGTCATCCTTAATTAAGAATCTGCCAATTAAGCCAAGGTTTCTCCTGTGTTACCTGTCAAACAGCTCACCACCTGTCACCAACTCAAGGATTAGCGTGATCTCTGTGGGGGTTTCGAAGATGTCTTTGAGTTTGATCTAAAAGCAAGTGGGAAGAAATAGAGGAGGATGAATAACTTTGATCTAAAAGCTTTGCAGAAAGGATGAAAAAAAAACAACGGAAATTCCAAATATTTACACTTTTTCCACAGGGGAGAAATCCAGCAGGTTCTGACAGGTTCTGGAGAACCAGTAGCAGAAATTTTGAGTAGTTTGGAGAACNTCAAGCTATTTAGCTCTCATCAGCTAGCCATACCCTTACTGGGATTTGAACCTGGGCTATATTGCATACTAGGCATACTAGGCAGAGATCTTAGCGATCTTATATGAACAGAGTTTCCAAAACAGTCACATACTTTTCATAGATTTTCTAAGTAACATTATAACTGCCCAGAGTCACTCTACAGTAGAACCTCTGGTCACGACCATAATTCATTTCATAACGTTGGTCGTAACCCGATTTGGTTGTGACCCGAACCTAATTTTGGAAATTTGGTGCTTTAAAAAAAAATGGTGTGGAAGGGAAAATCAGCTGCGAAAAAGTGGTCAGAAGCATTGATGACCAGAGGTTCTACTGTATATTGAGATGGCTGGCATAAAATTTAATAAATAAAATAAAAGTGATATTGGTATGTGTAGTGGATGTCTACAGCAGAAACAACTTTTTAAAGTAAAACCTACAGTAACTGTTTTTAAAGGTTATGTAGGAATGCACTCATACAATTTTTGTTTTTTATGAGAGGTTTAATTCCAAGGGGCTATTGAAGTAGATCAGATACCTGCAAATTAAATAATTAAAACTGAGTTTTGTGGGCCTTACCCAATGTTTCTCAATCTTGGCAACTTTAAGCTGTGTGGACCAATTCCATCATGCTGGCTGGGGAATTCTAGAAGTTTAAAGTTTATAAGACTGAGAAACACTGTCCTAGCCTAACCATGTCTAAGGCTTTTTCCAGATGTGTGAAACAACCATTCTCATTAGCCTCAATATTACCAGACTTATAGTACAACCCAATTTGAAGGGATTACTTAGTTTAGAGACGTTTGGTGCACCTGAATTGGTAAGAGACATTTTGGAATAAAAGTCAATAAAACTTGCATGCTTTGAGCCAGGCAGGTTCAAGGCCTAGAGCAGTGACGATAAACCTTTTCGGCATCGAGTGCCCAAACTGGAATGCACGTGCTTCGTGCATGTGCTGGAGCACTGCAAACCCAAAGACCAGCACATGCGCACACCGGCCAGCTGGTCTTTGGGTTTCTGCATGCATATGCATGCTGGCCAGCTGGTCTTCATGCGCTGGGGCACCAGAAATCTGAAGAGCAGCTGGCCGTCGCACGCATGCCTGTTTTTTGGCCATTTTTCAGCCGGTTTTCTGGATCATTCTTCAGCCCGTTTTCTGGCTATTTTTGGGCCTGAAAACAGTCTGGAAAATGGCCAGAAGAACAGCCTGAAAACGGCCCAGAAAATAGCCTATTTTGGGGGCGTTTGGGGGCCATTTTCAGGCCCTTTTTGCAGCGCTCCTGTGCCCGTGAAGACCAGCTGGCTGGAAACCAGAAGAGCTGTTGTTGTGATGAAGAAAAACGCACAGGCAGGAAGAAGGTTAATGGGAAGGCACCCCGAACAGCTCTTGGGAGCTCCCTTTTATTGTCATACACAGTCTCCGTGGCAGAAGCTGATTCATTGATCAGTACTGATTGGCTAGACAAAGCTCATGCTATCAGCTCATGGACAGCACATGGTTTCCTGCTGCAAGCGATGTGATGTTCCTACGTGCCAAATCTCATGTTTCACACTTATCAAGGAAGGATCAGGTTAATGATCATTGTGCTGACGTTGCATTCCTCAGCGTGGTTTGCCAGCCACTGAGAGAGCAACTATCCCCACAAGAGCAGCTGGTGATGGCACGCATTTCCACAGTGAGGACTCTGCGTGCCACCTCTGGCATGCGTGCCATAGGTTTGCCATCATGGGCCTAGAGGCTAAGAGTCTTCACATTATTCTTTCAGGTATAGTAGGAAAATTAAAAGCAAATTTACATATCCTAGAGCAGTGGTCCCCAACCTTTTTATCGCCGCGGACCAGTCAGCCTTTGATAATTTTACCGTGGCCCGCTGAGCGCGCGCAGGGGTGGGGGGGCGTCTCTTCCCCCGAGCCAGGGTA